GCCGGAAATTTCTTACTCGTTGCCATTGTGGCAGGCCTTATTAATGGTCAGACAAGATGGGCGCCTCAAATCTATTAAATAAGGTCAATTTCTTTGAATTGTGTGTTTTTTTTTAGTAAGTTTGGACCACCGATATCTTTAAGTTTGTTTGGCCACTAACTAATTTGGATTCAAATCGAGTAGATTCAATAAATGATAAAGTTTTTTTATAAGTTTTAATAAAATTATATTTTTAAAATTTAAAAATAAGATTTCTACTTAGATTAAAAGAGTTTCTTGTCAATTTTTTTACCTATTCATAAGTTCGAATAGTGTTATTTATGGAACTAATAACCTTAATTTTTTGTTTTTTAATTTTAAATTATATAATAAAAAATAACTCTATCATTTTTTAACACATTTCACTTATATATCATATTACTTAAATTTAAAATTTTTTATTTTTATTAAAAAAAATTATTACTAAATTATTTACAATCTTAACATTAACCTTAAATTTTTAAATGGGAACAATAAGATCAAAATCCATAAGTTAGGGGGCTAATTAGAGGTTAAACCAAATGTAACCATGCAAGGAGGTGCGGTGCTTTGGCGAGACCGAGGCGACAATACAAGCAAATACTTTCCTCGCACGTGTTCATTGTCTCAACAGCTGGTCGGCGTCTACTTCTTCCGTCTCCTACACCTTCACCACACCCTACCATCTCCCTCTGCCTTCTTCGCCACCGGCAACACCCGTACCGGAAACAGCTCCACAGAAAATATCTTTGTCGTCCTGACTCGGAAGATCCAGCTTTGGTTGTGTCGCATCCGAGTTCTCACCGTCTGAATTCATTCTTCTTCCTCTATCCGTTTCTTCTTCCTCTATCCGTATCTTCAAATTTCAAAGTGACGGTGATGAGAGGGAACCCGGTTGTTAACCGTCGCGTGGTTCACAAGTGGCGGCAAGTCGGGATCCCGACGGCTGGATCGGTGAAGATCAAGATCCTGCTTTGCTGTTGTATCGCGTTAACTCTGGTGGTGCTCGCCGGCCTCGCTTCCTCGTTTATGGGATGGACCGGCCACCCTGACTCCTCCTATCGTCTGTCGTCGCCGCGGTGCGTGTTAATTTCTAATTGAAGTTTAATCCTTTGCCTTAATCTTATTTCCATTTTTTAATCGAACCAGTATCTATTATTTAATCCGCGTTCTTTCCAAAAAGGAACGAGTGATAATTAAGTTTAAGATTCTAATCTATATTTGGAATTCTTTCATGACTAAATAAAACAAAGCAATTAGAGAGTTGAAATTTTTTTAAATCTTTTTTTATTTCATTAAAAGGATTGTATTATTGAAGCTTAATGGCAATTAAGCTATGATATTGATGCTGGTTTTTGTATAACCAGGGGAAGGTATGCTATTGTGATGAACACATGGAAGAGATATGATCTCTTGAAGCAGTCTATTGCTCACTATGTTTCATGTCCTAGGCTTGAATCCATACACATTGTGTGGAGTGAGCCCGAGCCCCCTTCTGAATCTCTTAAGAGATACTTGAACCGTGTTGCACAGTCAAATTCTGGTGATGGGCATTCTGTTGAATTGAAATTTGACATTAACACAGAAGACAGTTTGAACAACAGGTTTAAAGAGATCAAGGATTTGAATACAGATGCGGTTTTTTCGATTGATGATGATGTTATATTTCCTTGCTCTTCAGTGGAACTTGCCTTCAGTGTTTGGCAAAGTGCCCCTGAGACAATGGTGGGGTTTGTGCCTCGTGTGCATTGGGTTGATGAATCAGTATGTGGACTCCTTGCAATCTCTTACTCATTATTTGTAGTGGTCATTATTTATAATGTCATGATCTAGTTTGGAATGGTAGTAAAATGTTGGAGGTGTTTGTGATGAGGAGCATGCCTACTAGTCTCCAGCTTCCTGTTTAAGCTCATTACTCTCTTGGAATGAATATATTATCCCTTTATTTTAATTTGTTCATCTAATGCAGAAAGGAAAGGATCATTACATATATGGTGGATGGTGGTCTGTTTGGTGGACGGGCACATACAGCATGGTACTCTCTAAGGCTGCATTTTTCCACAAGAAATATTTCAGCCTTTACACGAATGAGATGCCAGCATCAATTAGAGAATATGTAGCCAAGAACAGGTTCATTGGCCACCTTGTTACTCATCCTTTTGTGTTATGTTTTGTCAGAACACTAACTCTTGCACTGGCTTTTTCAGGAACTGTGAGGATATTGCCATGTCGTTTCTTGTGGCAAATGCAACAGGTGGTCCTCCTATATGGGTGAAAGGTACATGACAACCCTGATGATATCAGATAATTATAATTTCTAAAATGACAATTTGAATGTATGAAACTGTCACGGCTACCTCATCTTCTCTCTTATAGCAATGCCATTGGAGCACTCTGAACCTGAAAAATCACCCTTCTTTTCCTTGTGATTGCTTAGGTTGTATGATTACTGACATTAAGTCTTGTTTAGTTCTGTCTAATACCAGGGATTGTTTCAGATTGTATTTAATTATTTTAGGGTGTCAAGGAGGCAAAAAATGATGCATGGAAATGGAAAATGTTATACATTAAGGAAGTTGCTTTATGCTTTCCTTTAATTATTTGAGAATTGAAAGTGAGCATTGTGAGAGGTATGGGGGATTTATTCAGTTCAGAGTTTCATTCACACAGAATACAGTCTAACTTTGCATCCATATATGTGAACTGCTCAACGAATTCATTCTGCTGTTCTATTAGTTTTAGTAGTCTCATGACTTGCTTCCCCTTAAAATGCTATTTCCATAGAAAGTGATTGCTTATTATGTACTTAAAATCCTTTTTCATGTGATAAATATATGGTAAGGTCGATATGAAATTCATTCTCGAGCCTGTTTTGCAGGTAAAATATTTGAAATTGGTTCTACTGGAATCAGCAGCTTGGGAGGTCATAGTGAAAGAAGAACTGAGTGTGTTAACAGATTTGTTACTGTGTTTGGGGGCATGCCATTAGTATCTACTTCAGTGAAAGCCATAGACAGTCGCAGTGTTTGGTTTTGGTGATGCTGGCATTTACACTACAATTATGTTCCCAGAATTTCCACTCTATTGGTTCCATCGGTTGGACCATTCCATTTTTGTACTCCTTTACCGTTGTTTCCTTGTATAATATTCGGAAAATTCACGATGTCACATGTTTCAGATGATAGAAGCAATGTAGTCTTGCTTGTATTCTTATTATATACTTCCAATTCATATTACGAACATTATATTTATAATACTACATAAAATTGTAAGTTTATAATTATAGTATGTTATGAAATAAATATATATAATATTATATGTAAATTTTTATGTAAAAAAATATAATTATATGATGATATATCTTATTATAATTTTATAATATTATATGTTATTATAATTATATTATTTTTTATCTAGATTATTATTCATTTTCTTAACCTCAGTTTGGATTGAGAAGTTGGAGAGGAAAAAAAGGATGAGGGAAAAAGGTCTCCTTGTATTTGAGAGAGTACCCCTCTTCTTTTGTTTTTAATCTCTTTAAAGAGAAATGGATTAATTTTATATATTTAAATTTTTTAATTTAAAAAATAAATATATGAAAATATTTTATATCAATTTTTTTAATTAATTAATTATAAATATTTTATTTTATT